ATAGGATAGAATCTCTCATGATATGAGCTCCACACCTAAGCTCCGTATCAGCATGTTTAGTTAACCTGTGTTTAGCCCTTTGCCACTCGCTACGCAACCCGTATCGGAGTGGGTAAACCAACAGCAGATGCTATTTCACAGTGAACAAAGAGAGACCTATTATTGCATGCAATATCCATCCATGGATGCACACAAGAGAGCAACACTAGATCACTTCTTTTACCTCGAATCAAACATCCACATCGGCACAAGGGAGGGAGTACAGCTCCTTCTAGATCGGTCAGCTAACGTGGCTCGCCACATGCCTTACTCTCTTCTCGCTCCTGACACACAAGTCCTCAACAAGAATACAAACCCCCCCATCTTCTATGGCCCTCGAGGCCGAGACTTTTAGCTTGTTTACAGTCGAAGTCTTCGTTACGCTACTGATCGAATTCCAGCAAAGACCTGCTCGATGGGTGGGTAAGTGGCCGAACCGTATCAGCTCATGGATGCCAACTCAAGTTTCCAACAGAGGAGGCGGTCCACCCATTCTTTGACATACCTCTCAGTTCTCCAACCCTGTCGGATTTCCAAGAGTTATCTCAACAGGGATAAGATCGTATCTAGCTGACTCAAAGCAAGCTAAAAGTAATCTCTGAAATAACTCCTCGACGAGGAAAAGTCCAGTCTCCTCGCACGGTTCCAAAACTTTTCTCCTACAGCCACAATTCTACACACCACCACGGAGAAAAATGCAACCTTTTGCGTTGTTCCCATCCGTGAGCGACGTCGACGCTGAGAGACTTGCCCAGGGGCCCACCTAGAGACGAGGAATTATTGCTGCGGTCCCATTCGGGAGCGGCGACGGCGAGAGCTCCGGTGTGGGCCCCGCCGGGAAATCTGGCCTCCGGCCAATGGGAGTCGGAAGAAGAGGATGCCCTTCTTCTCCGTCGGCCAATGGCGTTGCAGATAAGGTCACGGTTGTGGGCCCCAGCCATTGGAAAAGATCAAGGCGCCGTGGGCCCACCGTCGGCCCAAAAGTGCACCTCCGATGGCCCACCTCATCCTTCTCAGTACAGTTTGCCTCTCTGTTAGTCTTCTGCAGCTCCCAAAACATACGAGCAAGAGCTCGTGTGATATTTATCAGCTAACGTCTACGAGAACGTTGTGCCTCTTCTGTCCACCTTAGTAGCAAGTGATGAGCCACTTCGAGAAGCAAAGGTCGCCCGAGGTCGTGGCGTCTAGCGCGGTGGCCGGGAAGACCGCCCGTGCGTGCGACGGGTGCGCCCGCCGCCGCGCGCGGTGGTACTGCCCTGCCGACGACGCTTTCCTCTGCCAGAACTGCGACTTCTCCGTCCACTCCGCCAACCCCCTCGCTCGCCGCCACCGTCGCGTTCGTCTCAGAGCCGCCGACGTGGATTCGGAAGAGTCGTCTCCCTCTTGGCTCCGGGGATTCAAGCGCAAGGCCCGGACCCCCCGCGCGCACCAGCATGAGAAGACGACCTCTGGAGCGCGGAGACTGCGACCGACGACCGTGCCGGAGCTCATCGAGACATCGGTCGATGAGACCGAGGAGGAGGAGGAGCAGCTTCTCTACTGCGTCCCGGTGGTCGACCCGGCCCTCGCGGAATTCTGCTCCCCCCCCATGCTCGACGACTCGAACACTTGTTCCGGCGACGAAACTAAGCCGACGATGGATTCAACAGACGGCACCCCTGCGTCCACCTCCACCGTGGATACCGCTAATAGGCTGGCCCCGTTCCTACCGTCGGTCACGGATCTCGCGGAGTTCGCAGCCGACATGGAGAGCCTTCTCGGTGGAGGTCTCGATTCGCGCGACGGCTCCTTCTCGATGGAGAAGCTCGGGCTGGTAAACTCGATGGAAGACAACGTCGACTATTGCTTGGACAGTGCCGGCAGATTGAAGACGGAGCAGCCGGACGATACAGAACAGTGCCCAGTCGAACTGGACATCGACAAGTCGAGAGAGACGCTGGAGCTGGACCTCGACTGGCCAGGGTCGTCGACAGCTAAAGAGGAGGAACTCGAAGAAGAGAATATGGAGGTGGCGTCGGAGCAGCAACAAGTGACAAAGAAAGCCAAATTAAGACTCGACTACGAAGCGGTCATATCCGCGTGGTCGAGCTATGGCTCTTCACCATGGACCGACGGCGAGCGGCCACAGATTAATCTAGACTATTATTGGCCCGACTACATGGTAAGCTCGGTAACACCTTCACTGAAAGAGAGTTACACATCGCTTATCGACTGTTCGATGAATTGAAACCTGTGTTCTTCTGTGGACATAAGGGTGTGCGGGTGGAAGTAGGAGGAGGAGGAAGAGGGGAGACACCGGGAACCGGGCACGGCAGCGACACAGGAGTGGGATTTGTGGATGTGGGGAGGCAGGCGAGGGTGACGAGGTACCGGGAGAAGCGGCGGACGAGGCTGTTCGCGAAGAAGATAAGGTACGAGGTGCGGAAGCTGAACGCGGAGAAGCGGCCGAGGATGAAGGGTCGATTTGTGAAGCGAGCTCCGGGATCAGCCTTTGCTCACTGAGGCGGTCATTCCGGTTCCAGTTTCCAGGTGCTCAACTGGGTAAATAATATACTCTCACCTTTCTCTTTCCTTTTCCCATCATAATTTTTGGGCCCTTCTGCATCTGTCAAGAGTTCTTGGGGGGGGGGGATGCCAATTATTTTTATGATGGAATTTCTAATAATTCCACCTTTTTTTTAACCCCTACGTCAGATCGAGTCACTAAGATCTAAATAGGACTTTTAACACTTGGAGCTCAGATTTGACCTCATAGTTATGCTGAAAAAAATGTATATAATTCCTCTTTAATTCAATGATATTGAATTATCTAATTACCACCAATTAAATGCTAACGTGTTTCTTTTGTAATATGTGAAAGGAAAAGACGAGAACAGAGATCAGCCTGTTCATTTCTAGCATATCAGCTAGCATGTAAGGAAAAGTCTTTACTGATTAAAACATAGAATATGTAAATATATGCAGGTTGACACGATAGAAACAAGTAACAAAAATAATCAAAGAAACTGTGGACAAAAAAGAACAAGATGTGATGAGCTTCTATCTTGTTAACTAATGTATTCCGAGTCTTGCAGCCCAATTTATGACATGCAGCCCAATTTACTACTTGATTATTATACTCAAGAAAATAATATAAGAAAATGTTCAAGAGATCTTCAATGTTATGTAGTGATCGGAATGTGTTTTCTTTTTAGTAAAGATGAGTCTGTCTCGATCCCTATACCAAAAATTTTTTAGTGGTAAGTAATTGAAGGATAAATTTGATCGTCATTGTTTCATATCGAAGGAGGGATAAACTACATAGATGTTATTGTCCAACAATTTTGCAAAAAGTTATTGTGGTCTCAAATCATGAATCAATACCTTCATCCTGCAAGAGAGATCTCTCAGTATTTATTTTCAAAAACACGATCTAATCTGACAGAAATATGAGCTTGACCTTTTATGATTATTACACCAAATATATTTAGGTCCAGAAAATCCGTTAAATCATAAATTTTCATAAAATCATAGAATGTTCTAATTAAAAGATAAGTAGTTTATCAGAGCTATGAAAAGTGCTATTAATATCACCTAAAACATACCATGGGGGATCTATAAAATCGAAAGTAGATAGAGAGTTCCATACCTGATTTCGTAAATTAAGGTACTAACATAAATACTAGCAAGAAATCAAGAATGACTATGATTTAATTGCACAACAACATGTATTAATTGAGGTTGGGCAAATATCACCTGACCGTGAGGAAGAGAGGAACACCAAGCAAGAAATATACCACCCGAGGCTCCATCAATGGCTGGGAGATGCCCTACCAATCTCGATCGATGCTCTGTAGTAATCTTTTAGATTGTGCTTCTGAAGTGTGTGTTTCCTACAGAAGAATTAGAGCAAGTCTATATACTTTTTTTTTTGGTATATTTTAGAAAATCTCGAACAGATTTCCTTAAAATATGTCATAATAATTCTAAAATAGAACAATCATTTTAACTAGAGGGAGCATTCGGTAAAAATCCATCAGAAGGAAAAGTAATAGCAGACAGCAGAGCTTATGGTGATTTTAGAGCCGGAAGAATTTTTTTTTCTCCGTCGATCCAAGAAGTCTCGAAGAAGGTTGGAGTCTGCAGGCCCCGGTGCTTGGATCATCATTTGCAAAGGACGCCCCCGCAAAGTTGATCTTAGTAAGAATACGAGGGCCTCAGGAGAGCCACTGGTTTCCGTTGAAGTGGAAGAGGAAGAAAGCAAAGGAGAAGTAAAAGAAAGAGGCAATGAGTTCGAGGGTGGAGCGAACGTATGTGGTGGTAGCATGCTGTAAGATGGACACATCATCTTTTTCACCTGGCATTACTTCCTTGGGACAAGTATTAATTGCAGAATGGGTCGGATCTGAATTCGCACCCTTAGCCTGCTGAGACTCGAGGTTGGTGAAATCAGGTGCATGCGTTGTCTGTTTTGGGATGGCATTAAGTGCAATAACCTTGTTGGTTGCAGCTGATGGCATTAGAACAATAGCTGAAGGGGTGGGACAAGTAGCAGAATCTGTAGAAAAGACTGGTTGAGGGAAGAAGAGATTTTTTGTTAAAAGGTCGCCGATGAAGAACTTTTCTCCATGGATCAAAAATTGGATTATCGTTCCCTTTCTCATCAGCCGAATCTGGTTGAACCTCCTGTGGCAGAGGAACAGGGACAAGGAGTAGTGGAGGAATTAATGTCAGTGGGGCAAACTTTTCATATGAAATCACTTGAAAGAGGCTCGAACAAGATTCTCCAAACCAATTACCTTGAATGAGGGGCTTGGTAATGTCTTTCTCAATACAAACATGAGTGAATCTGCCCCTCTCAAAGCGGAGGGATCGAGGGTCAATCCGAATAGGTCGACCAAGGCCGGAGGTGATGCAGAAGAAGGAAGATTCTTTATTCCAACGAAAGCCCTGACATATAAATCCAAAAAGAGAGTATCGATATGGGCAATCAAAGATTGAAAAATAAGTTAGAAAGGAAGCAGTTGAAAGATATCCCAAGGTCCCTCAATGACGATTCAAACAACATCAGCTTCATATTGGAATGGAGAAAGAAAAAAAAAAAATCAGATTCAAGATCTATGATAGCAGCTGGGGCATCAAGAGGCCATAGCGTAGATATGGAAGTTGATTCTTCAGCGAGACAGAAGATGATAATAATGCTACCTCATCGATTCTTTTCCAACTTCAATTTCAAACAGTTGGCCGAAACGAAAAGGCATCATTTCGGCATATCGAAGAACACATGATCTTATTGCCTAGGATGTTTCCATAATAAGAAACCATACCAACTATTATCGGCTCCATAGTACCGACTCCGCTTGATGAAGACCTTGCAGTAGCTCAGGTTCTTTGTATGCTGTATCAAACATGAAGGAAATGTCTGAATACGACAGAACTGCAAATAAACTATTGCCAAGGTGAATTTGAAGAAGATCGTTAGACAGTAAAATAAGCATAAAAAAATAGCAAAAATCCTTGTCAAAATCACATTTGTGGCTGTATTATGATCCTACCACAGACAGGAGATGGAAAAAAGATGGGCATTTAACCAATGCACCAGCCAAGGACAATGCAGCTTGGACAGGCAATTAGCAATCAAGATCATCACAAGACCGACCATGTGGGTGCCAATAAAAGCTTTGCCGAAGCCATTGAAGCAATAATTTATGCTACTTTTCAAAGTCTGGATTGACCGATCGGGAAAGGTCATCTTTGCAACAAGTGATGTCAGCAGCAAACATGTTTGCACACATACATCTATTCACACAAATAATAGATTATAGACATTAATAGTCAACATTTAACTGGACAGAATTATTAGGCTCAGCCTTGTCAATACTGTAATTGTACTGCCAAATCTGTTACCTGCAAAAGTCATCCTACTTTTATCAATTTGTTAATTTAAAAACAACCAATAGTTAAAACACTGCGACAGAATTACTGAATGCTATAAGAAAAGAGAAGATAATAACCAAGCATAATCAATAAGTACAAAGCTCAAATTTTGAAATCCAGAATATGCAATTTTATGTACAGACCATGTAACAATGAAGACTATATAATTATATAACTAAAAATCTATAAATAAGTAGTATTTGTTACCATGAGATAACATTCATCCATTTACTGCAGTTGGTTTGATGTCAGCTAACTCAACAAATACCTTGTCCCTTCAGTTAGTCCAATTGCAATCCAATAACAGATCTCACCCCACTCTCCAATAGGACTATGTGTGGAGCCCTTGGTGGTACGGGTCAAACCTGAACCATCCGAATGTCAATTACCAAATAGCCAAAGCCCATGTACAAAGGTCCAATCTCTTCAAAGGACCTGTCACATAAATCACTTGCCAAAATCCAGACACATCTCTCTTATCTCATTTAATTGCTACCAACCTGCTCTCTCTACTGTATCTTCACCTCATAATTGTACAGACTAGAATATCAAAGGGAATCGATTGGAGTAAACTCCAATATTCCCTCCTAGCCTTCTCGTTCTCCAGCCCTTCACATTAACCTCATCATCCATCAGTAGTTATATGTGATTCTTGACAGTATTTAATGCTAGCTCTGATCTCCAAATTGAATGACCCGCATGCTATTTAGGTAGTGTTGTACATCCCGTTTAGTGAATTTTAACATCTAATGCTAAACAAATGGGTCTAATGCCCCCCCACCAAAATGAAAGACCAGATACATAGTGTTGTACAAATTGACATCCTGAAACTAAGAAGTTTCAAACACCAAGGTGACACCTACCAAAGGTGTTTATTTGCAATTTAATTGTTTCAAGTCGACCTACTCAACAAATCTCATTTAAGCAACCTTATGTAAGGCCCAACTCAATCATTTGATATGCTTCACTTATCAGCTCATAGGCTTAGCCTGGTAGCTGATTTGGTGAAGGTTGAGCCAATCTAACTGGTTTCAATAAAGCACTTAGTAAAATGTGCAAAAAAATGTTACCATCGCTGAAAGAAACTGACCCAGTAACATCTTCAGTTTAAGGAATCGCATCTACAATTACAAAAAGGTATAACATAAAGATGGGAGGTGAAGAACCGAAATGACAGAGGAGAGCTAGGAGATTGAAGAGAAATTAGGATACGCAGAGCAAGGAAGGAGGCAGGATAGAAGAGGGGAGAAAATGAATTTGGAGTTAGGATAGGAATCTGTGTACTTAAATATACAAGATTAGGATTCAAGTCAACTTAGATCGAGGTTCAAATTAGGTTAGGCCTATGCCAAACCCACCTCAAAGACGGTTATACAAATTTTAGATTTTCCTCAATCATGACCAAACAGATAAAAGCCCACCCCAACTTTACCAAATTCTTGTCAGGCTCCCTTGCTATCCCCATCTAACATGTTTGTGTCCATTCCTCAAAAGACAAGACCACCTGTTATATGAACAAAGGTTCCAGTGATATTGTTTCTTCGTTTGTACCTTTGTAATCATAATTGTGGCTCCATTATCTACTTTTTAATGATTTATTGCATTATATTTATCTCTATTTTAGATGAATTGGTTCCTCTATGTAATGTGAATCGCTGTGCTGGACTAAGCATATCATCCATCTGTTACTCTTCGCATAACTTTTCACATTCACATCTAGTTTTATCACATGAAATTTATTTTACCGATTTTTGTATATATATATATATATATATATATATATATATATTACTATGAAAGTATGAATTATAATTAACAAATGTGCTCCTAATATTTGAAGTATTGATATTCTTTTAAATCTTTGGACCCCATATGATCTTATGTGTATTATTAGTTAGTAATATCATACATTGTTTATATTTTGTTCATTCCTATATTTTCAAAGTCAGCAGTGTACATTTTGCAATGCGCACCGCCTAAATGTAAATCCTGACTCCACATCGCACCTGATTCTACATATGGCGGCACTAACTACCCAATTCTAATCAAAACCCTCAAGCAGTCTGACAAAGCAAGGGCACTGTAGATTATTAATCAGGAAAGCATATATGATATCGGAAATGCACCAATTTTGGATCAAAACTCTAAGAAAATAAAAATTAAAAGATGTAGCATAATCACATAGATACTAATTTCCCAATAACCCGAGGCAAATAAGATGATCAGAGTCCTCACTACCTCAACTCGAATCAGATGCTTCTACTCAGACCGTGGGTTTGCGTTGGAAGCCTTGGCCAGGGTCATCTTCGGAGGGGAAGGCGCTGAGGGCAGTGACCACGGCGGCGGGGGGCCCGACCCTGCAGCGCCTCTCGACCATCTCGTCGACAGCGGTGGGGTCGCCGGAGAAGAGCGCCTCGACGGAGCCATCCCTCCGGTTGCGGACCCAACCGTTGAGACCGAGTTCCCGGGCGGTCTGGACCGTCCAATCGCGGAAGAAAACACCCTGCACCCGCCCCTTGACGACCACCCGCAGCTGGAAGAAATTCAGCCATACCATGTTATATACATCAGATCTGAAAAGGAGTCGATAACAAAGAGAGTGCAAGAGAGAAATAGTACGGTTTTGGCGGACGGAGGCATCGGCGACGGCGTTGCGGCGGTGGCGATGGCGTTCATGGAGGGTAGCGGTGGAGAGAGAAGATTCGAGAAAGAGGAATGGAAGGAGAGGTGATGACGGCATACTGTAATATGATTGCTTGTGGACTAGCGAGAAAATAATAATAATTAAGAAAAATCTAAGGGCGAATTAAGAAAAAAACCCTAACTTTGAATAATTCCTTAATATCGATATTGTATTTTGGGGTCTAACTAAAATTTTTAAAAAGAATAAAAAAATATTATATAAAGACATCATGAGTTGATTCTTTTACCAACTTTTTACCATTGCTTAAGGACATATTTATAAGTTAAAATATCAAAAAATATTATATAAAAACATCATGTTTTGGTGGAAATAAAAAATATATGGAGAAAATAGAAAAATCACAACTGTTCACATTTTGAATAAATTCCTGTGAACTTTTGGTAATATTTGTGCATTAATTTCTTAGTCTCTTTTATTTTTTACCAAAATATCTATTACAGTATCAAATGGATATTAATTATACTATAACAGGGCTACAGTCCCAAATGGAGCCTCTTAGGCAAGTAAATATGAATCACACACCACAAGTAATATTTTGACAAACATAATTTTGATCTTACTGGGATTGAATATATATATATATATGTATATATATATATGTATACATATACATATGTATATGTATACATATACATATGTATATGTATATATATATATATATA